TTTTCCATCGGGGTTATATTTCTGATTGTCTTTCCTTATTATATACTTTATTTATTGTCGCTTATTCATTCTGTTCTATTTTTTTTGTTTTTGTTACCCTATTATTCATTGAAGGAGAAAGACGTTTGATAAATTCACAAAAATCTCTTGCTCAATATCGCTCAACTATGTCCGACAGAGATGACATGAAACGCCGAACACAATAATACATTGAAATGTGCGCAGAAGAATGCGCAAATGGTCGAAAATTCAACATCTACATGCTGCGTGAAATGAGATGTGTGAAAGCAATATTCTAACTTTTTAGTGATAGAGTTAATGCTAATGTTAATTCAAGCTACACGTTTTCACCCCAAATTTGAAAGTGGGTCAAGCTATATATTATGTTTTCTGTACTTTCTTTTTGTGTTCTGAAGTCACTACAAAACTACCAAAACGGCAACATTGGGAAGAGTAGCTACCAATGACAAGGCCGTTACAACGTGATAATTCTGCTGAAAAGATTCAAGTATATCTATAGTTGTTATTGACTAGAATAATGAAATAAAATCTACGTTGTCATATCTACGAATCGTACATAGTTCAAATAATGTTATAAAGGCTTGTGGACCTCAAGTATGGCAAGAAGAATTGAAATAGTAATACTAAATAAGTTTTCCCCTTTGTTATCAAAATGAAAAAAATTATATTGCACTGTTGGATTATCCTGATTTCTCTTTATCACACACACAGTCTTTATGTATATGTCTTCTCTTTCAATTTTTTTCCATCGTCTGATTGTCTTTTCTTATTATATTCTTTATTTATTATCGCTCATTCATTCTGTCCTAATTTTTTTGTTTTTGTTACCCTATTATTAATTGAAGGAGAAAGACGTTTGATAAACTCACAAAAATCTATTGCAATGAAAGAATAAGAAACCGTTGATGAACAAAACTGGATTTGAATAATTAAATATAGTTGTAAATCATAGTTGAAGTTATAAATTGAAAGAACTACTTCAGAATGTTTTGTGACTTACGTTAACAAAATCTTTGAGATGGTTCACCCCGTAGTTTTCTAAACAAAATTCAAAAAGTTGTTGAATATGATAGTATGATAGTTACAAAGTTTCAATCCCAAAAAAAAAACACTCACTAATAATTGCATGCAGGATATCATGAAGTATAAAATACAACCCAGAAGAAATGAAAAATATGGCATCGCGTTGAAATTGTTCATGAAGTACATAATATATCATTTAAAGAACATTATTAGTAACATTCAAACCATTCAAATATTCAACAGGTAGACAAAACACTTATTTGATAATCATGTTATTATGGAAGTTGACAGCGGAAACTGACAAAGGGTTTGAAACTATTATGAATATGAACACGCCTGATGAAGCTATTTTATAGCGAAACACGTGTTGCAGTTTTTCAAACTATTCAGTGTAAATTTCACAAGAAAGTGTTACTCGAATATGAAAAAAGTATATTTCTGCCTTTCTGTACAATCTTAAATTATTACAAATGAGACTATTCCACTCTTAGTTTCCATTTTGTCAACTTCTCTGCGAAATATCTATTATAAATGTCAATATTTTTTAAATTTTTCTCAATTTTTGATATTATTTTTGCTACCTAGTTCCAACAGTTGGTAGAAGTGTTAGTTTCTCTTTGTAGTTGTTTCTTAACACACTTTCATTTATGTGTTTCATGTTCAGACTTCAGTTTGTGACAAAACGATTTCTGAAAATATTTTCACTGTCAAATATTTATAATTTCATAATTTTATAAATTTCGGTATTATGTCTTGGTAATGTGGAATTGTATAATGTGAAATTGTATATTTGATTCATCTAAGGCTTTAGACTGCGTGTCACACACGCTGTTACTTCAAAAATTACAATATTATGGGGTTAGAGGAGTTTCGTTAACACTTATCAAATCGTACCTCACAAATAGATATAAAGCTGTTCCTTGCAATAATACCATTTCTAGCTTCAAACCTGTAGTACCACAAGGATCTATCCTTGGGACCGTACTTTTTATCATCTACGTAAATGATTTCTGTAATTTTATAGCGCCAAATAAAACAATTCTCTATGCTGATGATACCACCTTAATCTATAGTGGAAATAGTATCAACAAACTAACAGAAATATCGGAAGACATTGAAAATAAAGCGAATACTTGGTTTCTAACAAATAATTTGAAATTAAATACCAATAAGACACAACGTCTTCAATTCTCCACTGTAGGCCCCTCAAATGATAGCGTGATAGCATAACACTTGACAATACCTTATCTTGGCACCAACATACAAATCAGGTTAGGAGCAAGTTATTCAGCACTATTTATGTTCTACGACAACTTCAAAATATTACCAGCTTCGATATATCAAAAATTACTTATTATTCGCTTTTTCATTCTCACATTGCTTATGAGATTGTTCTTTGGGGAAACTCACCTGGTTCTCTCAATATCTTTAGATTACAAAAACGAGCCATTCGAATATTGACAGATGTAGGTTTTCGGGAACCGTGTCAGCCAATTTTCAAAAAACTAGGTATCATGCCTATACCAACTTTATTCAATTTTCATGTTTTGCTAGAAATCCACAGAATTGCGAGTACCTTACCTAAACGTTCAAATATTCATCAGTACCGTACGAGAAACGATGAAAAGATCTGTACAAATCGATATCGCCTAGCTAAATCACAAACAATTCTTTGGATTACAACTTATATAACTGTTTACCAGTCAAGCTGAAAGATCTGAGTATGAATAAATTCAAACAATCCAATAAACAACTACTATTGGAGGGCTGCTTTTACTCTGTCTCTGATTACCTGGGGTATTTTAAAAATCGCTCCCAAGTCTCAACATACAAGCAACATACTCATCTGACTACCGTAAATATGCTATATCATGTTGTTCTTTCATGTTTTTAATGTTAATCTTTATGTTGCTCTACTTTTCATCTTAAATTATATTTTATACTCATCCGATCTGAAATTACTTTTGCTGTGTGTAAGCATATGTAACAAATTTGTCATGACTTGCTACAAATATGTAAAGTGTAATGCGGTTAAATAAACTTCTATTCTATTCTATTGTTCTGAAAACGACATCAGGAGTTTCGATATTCATTATGCTAAATGACATTCATTTGAGCAATAATTGTTAGTCTAGGTTTCATTTGGTACCACCATTTGACTACAGCCACACAAATTCAATTTGTCATGTAGGAATGAGATACTACCAACTTCTGTTTTCGCAGGTTTCAAGAAATCCCTCTTAAATCCTCAACAAAGTACTTCAACTTGTTATTTGAATTTCAGTTACAAGAAAATGAAAAATCCAGATCGGAATCCAATTGACGACAGAGTGGGAAGCTATGACGTCATAGGAAGGATAATGTTCAGAACGTGTGGAGTTGGGAGTTCTAAAATGGATGAGACTGCTGACACGAGAGAAAAATCTTCTAACTTGAAACTGACAGAGCTCTATTCGCTGCTTCACTTGCCTGGCTTCGATAAGCGAGCTTTCGTTGTCAGTTCTTCGAGCGACTATCGAGTACGACCTGTTAAAAAAACCTCCAACGCCATTGTCAAAGGTTCGAAATCTTTTCCGAATCATTCCAGAGATAGAAGAGCATACGATATGCAAGAACTGTATTTGTCCAGTGGAAATACTGATAAGTCTGTTCAGATGACGAACGGTCACCGAAAGAAGTGGTACTACTCGCTATTTTCTTGTATTTTCGACAGTGGTGGGAGTTGAACGTCCTTTGTAAATGTATTGAAAATAATTAAAAATCAGGAACGATGACGTGTTTCATTTTTTGAAATGTTTCATAATTATGTAATGAAAAAGACAATAACGATAACGACGACGATGGATGTGGAGTTGACGATAATGATGATAAAGATCACGACCACGATAATGATGATAACTTTGCACTGATAACCATAATGGAAACATGTTTCAGAAGCCAGACAACAGTTTTTATGAAGATAATGACTATATGAGGGCCCTGAACAGTACCCTGGAAGACCCCAAGCGATGTTTATAGAGCCTTAAATTGCACAAATTTTTCTGTAGTGATGTCTTTCATTCATTTATGAAATATTTTACCATTCTACTATACAAAACCAATTCATATGCTTTCGAAAATATACCGATGGGACTAATGGGACTATAATTATCGAAATGATCAGGATCTCCTTATTCAAGGAGATGCTTAGTGACTCTATGTTTCAGATCATTAGAATATTCACCTGTTTTGAGTAATTCAATTATGAATTCGCACAATGGCACAGTAATACATCTGAATGACTTTTCAACCAAATCCAGAGCTTGTGTTATTTTTCATCTCATGGATTGATTCACAAAGTTCTACTGAAGTTTCAAGCTCATAAAAAGAACTATTCATCTGAATTGGAATATTACAGACGTGATTGATGTCTGGTAGCTTTTTCGAAATTTTATCAATTGCTTTTTCACTAAAGAAATAGTTGAATTGATAGATTGGCATAGGTTGGCTGTAGTTGCTTTCTTTTTGCCAGTAAGTTCAGTTGTTTGCGAGTAATTTTTTTGAATTAGCTCATCTTTGTCAAAGATCTCCATTGATTCAAGGGCGATTTTCTCAAATTTTCTATGTATAGAGGGATTATCATATTGTTTGGTAATTTTTCAGTTCATTTTGATAAAAAATATTGATATTTTAACTGTGGAACTCTGAAGTGCTGGAATTTGAAGAAAAAAATGTTGTTTCGTATTAATTTCATAACGATGTCTTGTAATTAAAAATGGTGTTACAGATCATACTTCGTCGTTAGGTAATTTTGAAAATTATTTTTATGAAAAATATGATCTTTCTAGATTGTTGAAAATCTTTAGATGTTCATACTGAGCCGTTGATAGAAAGCGAACTGTTGATACATTGAACGTAGCCATTATAACCTCATATACTTCTCCCTTTCATGGATTGACACAATTGTCATCCTTTCTGTCACGGATCGTTTCATTGTCTTTGTCAAAATTCCATGTTATTATGTCCCAAAAAGTATGTATTTGTGGGCGAGAAAAAAGTAAAGAAAAACCATTAGTCATTACTATCAACGCATGCAAGAATAAACACCCATCTTCCGAAAATACTACTGCAACGACAAGTAAAAATGATGGACTACCGCCAGATAAAGACGATGGAGCAACTTACGTATCGCGTGATCATCCTAAATCAAAAAGCCCTGGTTATCTATATCCCATATCCGAAAACAGTTCCCAGTCTTTATCGAAATTGATAGACAAATCTCTTGCTCAAGTAAGTAAAACTGAAACGCTTCAAATATCTGCAAAGGGAGTGGCTTCAAAACCTGAATCTACTCAGATAGATGTCGATAAATCAAGAACCAAATCTCTCATGATGGAATCCTCTCCTTCATCAGGAAAGAACTTCAAATCTCCTTCGACTTCTGACCAGGCGAGTATCGCTGAACCGGAACCATCAAAGAGAACTGTTGATAAATTAATGTCAACATCCAAAACTACCTCCAAGTCCCTAACAGAAGAAGTATCTACCGCTGAGAAATCGAGCAATCGTGTACAATCGGTTTTACAAAAAAGCTTGAAATCTTCCTCAAGTATATTGAAAACTTTCTCTGATCAATTGGGTTCAAAAAGAAGTAGTGAAGAATCCTATTCTCCAAAAAAAAGTGGATCTAGAATTTCTCCCCAGTCGTCAATGAAAAGACCTCCTACCCCCGAGAAGTCAGAAGATTTCTCACAATCGACTGTTAGACAGAGCCTAAAATCTGAATCAAGAACATCAAGAACGTCTTCTGAGCAGCCAAATTCGCGAATGAAAAGTAGTGAAGAATCTCATTCTCCAAAAAAAAGTGGATCTAGAATTTCTCCCCAGTCGTCCATGAAAAGACCTCCTACCCCCGAGAAATCAGAAGATTCCTCACAATCGACTGTTAGACAGAGCCTAAAATCTGAATCGAGAACATCAAGAACGTCTTCTGAGCAGCCAAATTCGCGAATGAAAAATATTGAAGAAACTCAGTCCCCGATCAAAGCTGGGTCTAAAATTTCCGCCAAGTCTTCCATTAAAGAAGCTTTTCAGAAGTCAAAAGATTTTTCACAATCAGTATTTGATCAGGTCAATCAGTCCAGTTCACCTATTGATGGAAAAAGCTTGCAGTCTCTGTCGGAAGTCAAAGAAAAAAGAGGCACTGCAGATTTTGATACTGACCGGAAAAGCGGCGGTAGTTCCAAATCTAACTCCAAAACTTCTGGGTCCGTCATAATGGGAAGTTCTTCAAAAAGTTCTCCAAAGAAACTGAGTTTCAACGAAAAGGATGACTTATCCATGTCGAATACAGAGACTGTTAAAAATCGAAGTCAGTTGGATACCCAGTCATTAGACGTTCCAGGGGAAAGTGATGAAGAAAAGGTCACCGACCATATTTTGTATTGTGAGGAGGATAATCAAGTTCGACTCCGACGTAGAGCCCAACCTTCTGAGGAAACGATCTGCGGTTTAGATGGGTACATCGACAGACCCAGCCCCCTAAGAACACCACACAAGTTTTTGGATAATCCTCGGTCAGAAATGGAAAGAAATGCTAACAAGAAAATCAATTTCAACAAAAAAGACAAATCAGCTTACGCTGATTTTACAAAGTTCCTCAAGAAGAAGTTGCAAAATTTTCCCTCGGATGCGTCTTTGAAGTTGCCAACATTGGCGTCAAGGTACCATGGCCCTGATTGTGCGATGGAGATAAATGTCTTGGAGAAGCATGGGAAAAAATGCAGGTACGGTAAAGGCATGTGGACAATCGGGAGTTCCGTAGGATGATAGTGAAAGGTAAATCATGATTTGGATGAACGGTGTACTTCTACCCAAAATTTTGCCATAAGTGTAATCGAGAGTAGAAGGGAAAGAAAACTTTTTATTTATCAGCTTCATGTCTTGAATCTCTTAGAATACATCTCTCGTGAGGATTATTTTGAAGTTGATATTCTAATTATTGTGGCGATAATATATCATCGTTCATTAGCTTTCGTTAGTTTAACGGCTTTGAATAGCAATCTTTAATGGATATTGTATGATTTCAATACCATATAGTCATTTTTAAGCTGAATCTTTCAGAGGCCTTCTTCATTATTCGGGTTTGTATTCTTTTTTCTAAGTTTTCATTATATTTTATTTCCTTGGGCAGTGGAGTAATAGATCATCTTCATTCAACGTTGTTGTATGATTGGATACAACAAATCCAAAATATACTTTTTACAGGTGTATGTATACGGTTCTAGCGACCCGCCTCGGCTATTTACGGGTGCAATGCTGATACTAAATATAAATACACTCACCTGAAATGTAAGGGCAGTGAAGAAAAGATAATGTTGTTTTATGAACGCAACTTTTTTTTCCGCGGCTGGCTCCCAGTTGATATTTGAAAATCCTTTCTCATTGCACATCAACAACATAAAACCAACCTTCATACAAAATTTCAGCCTCCTAAATTATAGCGGTTCGGAGAAACAGTGATGTTAAGGTAATTTCCATATGGGGACGCGCCCCTTTTATTCCCAGTGGGGAGCCCCAGTTAGGATATTTGAAAATCCTTTCTTATAAACATCTATAACAAGGATGGCCAACCTTTTCGACACTCGAGACAAAATTCGGAAGTAGAATTTTACCCTGGGCCGCACTACCAAATTTTATGTATAGTGCGCGCCAGATAAGTCTGCGCACAGTCAAAATCGGATACTAATTTTTTCTATCAGAACTTAGTTAGAGCTTAGAACAAAAAAATGTACTGTAACTAGCAAAGAAAACACTACTGACGGTGGTTCAAACCTTTCGACTCAATGAAGTTCACTATTTTGACAACTACCTTCATAACAGGATCCATTTTGAGAGATTCAGCACACAAATTCTCTTGATGAATAATACAATGAAAATTTAGCATCGACATATTGCCAACTTTACAGGCTTCATTTTCAATCAGTTGTACCAAACCTTTATGTTTCCCAACCATTGCTGAAGCACCATCAGTTGTTACACCCGACAAATTGTTTAATCGTAACGAAAAGCGGTCTATGGTTGACTGAACAGCCTCTTATACATCTCGTTATTTAGTGGTATCCTTGAGTGTATACAATGCTGCTAGTTCTTCCGTTTTATTAAAGTGGGCATCAACACCTTTGATAAAGATCGTCACTTGTGCGTTATCTGTCATATCCGTACTTTCGTCCAATGCCAGAGAATAATATATAGGCTCAGATGCACGTTCTTTAAAATTATTTTCAATGTGCAGGTCAAAATCATCCACACGTCTTGTATAATAGTTTGACGAGATAGGCTTATTTTTTAGAAATTCTTCTTCTTTTCTGGACACACAATTTCCGCGACACTTTCCAAGCACTCTTAAACAATTTCGCGGTCTGAAAATGGCTTTGATTTTTTGTGAGTATTGCTGCTACAGCATAACCCGCTTTTACATAACATGTTGACTCTGAATTCGCTCTTGTAAACAGTTGTTGTTGTGCTGAAAGTTTTGTTTTTAAGTTGTTGACCTGGTCCTTTCGAAATTGACTTTTGTACTTATCAAACTTATTTGCATGTTTAGTGTCGTAGTGACGTTTAATGTTGTACTCTTTTATAACAGAAACCGATTCATTGCATATTAAACATATTGGTTTGGTTTTAAATTCCACAAAAAAATTGTTATCAGTCCACCTGTCTTGAAAACTTCTTAATTCTGCCGTAACTTTTCTCTTCTTTGGTTCAACTTCTTTGCTAGTTGACGCCATTGTACGTTAATGTTTTAAACTGAAACTAATAAAATAAAGCCCAATCTATTGAAACAAAAACGGCGATCTACTCAGATTCATTTAGAAACAGTTGGGTTTACTTACCGAATTACCGAAAAGCGAATGTTGGGTTAAACAATTACAATAGATCGCGATCGAATGAGCGAACGCTAGCGACGTCCTCGCGGCTCAGGGGCGCTAGCCGCCATTTCTTTTTCTCAGTAGATTTGGAGATATTCCATGAAACAGATTTTACAGAAAATACGAATTAGGAAAAATGGAAAAAAAACATGTTTTTTCTGATTTCTCTCGAATTTAACTGATTGCGATTCCAAATGGACCCGTATTTGGAAATTTTGGAAATTTCGAGTTGAAATCTTCAAATACCACTCTCTAAAAGTCGTAGGAGAATGAAATCATTCATACTGTGCTTTTGCGAAAAAAAAACATTTTTTAGAAAGAAGGTGATTTTAAGCTTTTCTGTAAATTAACAAAAAATACATGACAAATTTTTCAAACTTCGGGTAAAACCAAGTCTCAAACTTCAGGTGGAAGCAAGCATATTGTTAGAGATTTGAGCACATTCTAAATTCATGTATTTTCATTTGCGGGTTTCTTCTAATTTGACAAGTTCAGAGCTTCTAACCAAAAGATCAGTGTCGTAAAATATTCATACAATGGATGTAACAGGAAAATTTGGATGACTGACAAGAGTGAGAGAGACGTTGAGAATCGTAACTCAATTTGTCAATTCTTAGATCATTTATGAGGCTGTCAGTGTCGATTCGATTGTATTGATGGATTTATAACATTCACGATATTACCAAATATGAGTTATTTCTGTTATCTTTATTTTCATATTTCGCAGAGTTGAATTGTCACTTAATGTGCTAGGAAATATTGATAAAAACAATTTCTGAAATTTCATCAGCATACTCTCATATGATTTGTATTGTGGATAATGTAATATATTGTGGACTCCACCGCAAATTAAATCAGCCCGAAAACACGCAACCAAATTTAAATTAACATTAAATGTTCATTGATAGGAATTCCGATCCCATTTCATACAAAATAATTAAGAAAAGAAACTATGTCTGGCAGAGATGACATGAAATGTCGAACACAATAATACATTGAAATGTGCGCAGAAGGATGCGCAAATGGTCGAAAATTCAACATTTACATGCTGCGTGAAATGAGATGTATGAAAGCACTATTCTAACTTCTTAGTGATAGTGTTAATGCTAATGTTAATTCAAGCTACATGTTTTCACCCCAAATTTGAAAGTGGGTCAAGCTATACATTATGTTTTCTGTACTTTCTTTTTGTGATTCCACTTTTCTTTCTGATTGGATTTTGCTGTAAAGTTTAAATATCATACTGAAAATGTAATGACAGAGAGATCAATTTGTTTATCAATTGATCCCCATTTCATCACTTCAAACTTTCGAGGTTATTTCAGAAATGAAATTTCTACACCTGATGATACGAACATCTTTCGATAGAAAATAAAGGAAAAGTTACTATTGCGGCAACCCTATGTAAAAAAGTACTAGAAGGTGAAAAGAGAAGCACTGGATCAAATAAAAAAGTACTAAACAGGGGAATCTGTGATTAATTGATATATATATATTTGAGCTTCTTCTCTTCATC